GTTTGAGTCGGTCGGTGACTTTATTCCTGAGCCTAGGTGCTCGAAGTTTGCTGTGGGGTTACAAATGAGTGGGAGTAAGATGGGGGTGTTAGAAGTTCGGTCAGACTCTGGACCAAAGGGCCGAGAGTGACGGGAGCTCCTACGTGTGCTATGCATTGGAACGTATGCTCTGTGTAGCTTTCGGATGTCTAAAGCTAGCAGAGAGTGAGTCGGAATGATCCGTCTGTTGTTCGTTTGTCTTGTGTTGTTGTCCCCCCTCATTGGGAGAGGGCGCATCCCCTTTTATAGATGAAGGGGACAGCCTTACAAGTGAGAGAGAGTGTGTGTGCGCGCGCTACCTAGTCTTGTTGCCCACGTCGTCGGGTACAAGATGGTTTGTCAGCGCCCACAATACTGTTGATGCCCAGATGCATGTGGTAGGCTCCATCGTGTTCTGGTATGGCAAATGTCGGCGCCTACCATACTGTAGGACAAATGACGGCGCCTACCATACTGTAGGACAAATGTCGGCGCCTACAACACTGTTTGTGTTCTGACATGTCTGAAAGGTCGCAAAGCACCCTTCTGGCATGGCCTATCAGTACTGTCCTACAGGTGTGCAGGGTATGGTCCTTGGTATTGCGGTTGACTTTGAACGCCTCACCTTATCTGCTCCGCCTGATTTCTTGGGTCCTCACCGAGCGGGCATCCCCGTTCGGTCGTTCCCAGTCGGCTCCAACCGCGCCGGTCAGAGAAGGAGCTGTAAGTAGAGGTTTGGTGTACTTCTGGTCAGAGAAGCGGGTCGGAGTCAGAAGCGAGCGTCGTCCCCTCCTTGGCTAGGCCTTTCGATCGGAGAAGCGGGTCGGAGTCGGAAGCGAGCGTCGTCTCCTCTTTGGCTAGGCCTTCCGGTCGGAGAAGCCGGTCGGAGTCGGAGGCCTTCCGGTCGGAGACTGAATCACTCTTCCGACCTATCATTAGGTATCTGGGTTGACCCAGGAGTTACGCGTCGTCTGTAATGTCGTCTGCTGGACCAAGGTTTTGTTGAAAAGTGGGCCCATTAGAGACCCCGAGTTTATGAACCCGACAGGTGGTGTCGTGGAGATCAGTCCTGCTGACGCCGAAGCATGGTCGAGGAACGATCGATCCCAGTATTTGGTGAGTTTGTCGACCTTCAGCTTGACATCATGGACGGCGCCTTCGGATTCCTAACACCAGCTCTGCAGCTCCCCGACCGCCTTAGTGATGGAGGTGACGCGGTCGTCCTGGCGTTTCTCCGACTCGGTGATGAGGGAGATTTGGCGAACCTCGGAATTTGTGATGCGGTGCTCCCAATTCAGGTCCGATTCGTTAAATCGCTTGGCGAAGGCGGCGTCGACCTCGGTGATGCGCTTGGTGATGGATTCGTCGACGGCGGCGAACCGCTGCCCGATGTCGGTGTGGCTGTTGGCGAGGCGCTCGTCCAGCTTCCGGTCGGACTCCGCGAACCGAGACTCGATCTAAGACTTCTGCTCGGCGAACAGGCGGTGCATCTCGTCAAGGAGGAGCTTCGAGTAGGGATTCATGGCGCCGCTGCTGTGTGTGAAGCGAGTGAAGTGGGGATACGGTGGAGGCGGGGGCGGTGGTGGCAGGCGTTGAGCCATCGCAAGCAATTGATTTGGAGCACCAGCGATCTGGGAATTACGGAAATCAGAATCGAATCAGGATCGATCCGATTTCAACAACCCGAAACGGCAGATGCGGAAGAAGAAATGGATCAAAGAAGGAAACTGATACCGGATGTAAGCACCAGCATATAGAAGGAGTAAACAAGAGCAAGCAGAGGGTAGGTTCGGATCAGATGAATCTTAAGAACAGAGTGCTTAGTTACAAGACAGAGTTCATAATATTTCTTAATTCCTCTCCTCTCTCCTGAGCAGGACTTATACTACTTGGCTACGCTTCTGCCTACAGCTGGCGACGTCATCACGCCCAGTCTAGGCCTTGGACTCGCGCGTTGGGCCGGCGCTCCCTTGTTCCCCGCCTTGGCCCATCATCAGAGTTCTTCCCGCGCTTGACATCTTCTCCGTCAGCATCAGACACAGCTGGGGCTGGTGTTGGGTTGCTGACACCAGGTGCCAAAGCTCAAGTTTCCTGAGCTGTACTCTTTTGCGAAGAACAAAGTCGTCACCCTTCAAAAAGCCAAGCTGATGCCGATTGCCCAACCTTCACAGCTGCTTCACCTGCCAATCTCCAACCCAACCTTTCAACAACTTACTAATATATCTGCAGCTGTACTCTTTTGCAAAGAACAAAGCTGTCACGCTTCAAAAGGCTAAGTTGATGCCGATTGTCGAACCTTCATCAGCTGTTCCATCACCTGCCAATCTCCAACACAACCTTTCAACACGTTACCAATCTTCAACTTCTTCAAGAATCCCCTTCTAGTTTGGAGCATGACTGGTGGGTTTATGTTTGGGGACCGGGCATGTTTTCCTCGAGGAAAACCTATAAAACTTTGACACACTACGCCAAATTGCATTTATAGGGGGCTGCTTCAGATGGTCTGTAGCATCGGTTTTGACAGCCGCCCCTATTAAACCGTGACTACAAATCACCGATTCGTAGGGGCAGTTGGCCAGCCGCCCCTACAAATCGATTTGTATGGACGGCTGTTCACGAAAAAATGGACAAAAAAAATAGCAATTTTTTTTAATTCGAGGAGGTCCTCACCGGCAGAGCCACAACCCACTCTATGGTTGCAACATTTTTTCAAGATTTTTGCGCACTTTGCGTCGGCCGGGATTCGAACCCGCAACTTCTCCTTCGCGCGCAAACTCCTCTACCGCTACACCTCACGATCACTTGTATCTACAATCTATTTTGGTTTCCCACGTATTATACAAAACTGAGCATAAATTGATTGTTTGAGTCCCAAAATAATTCAAATGAAAAAGTTATCAACTACAAAGTTTTATAACTTTTCGAGATCTACAACTTTCAATTTGGTAGTTTCTCTATCCGAGGTCACATATAAATTTCAATTTCAAATTTAAGAAATTCGAACGAAGTTTTCCATGACAAGATGATTTCAAATGAGAAAGTTATCAACTACAAAGTTTCATAACTTTTCAAGATCTACCACTTTCATTTTTATTGTTTGTCCATCCAAGGTCGTTTAAAAAATTAAAATTTTAAATTTTTACAAATTCAAACGTAGTTTTCCTTGACAAGATGATTTAAAAGCAAAAAAGTTGTCAACTACAAAGTTTCATAACTTTTCGAGATCTACAACTTTTATTTTGGTTGTTTCTCCATCCAATATCATTTACAAAATTTGAATTTTAGTACTTAATTTTTAATACTCGGCGTCTATTTGTAGGAGCAGTTCAATATTGAGCCGCCCCTACAAATCCGAGCCACTCCTACAAATCGGGCCATTTGTAGAGACGGCTGATAACACCAGCCACCCCTACAAATCTATTTGTAAGGGCGGCTCATTTGACAACCATTTGTAGGGGCGGCTCAATATAGAGCCGCCCCTAAAAAAAAAAAGGAAGATGTTGCCATAGATCATTTCTGTAGCAGTGACGGGTCCCCGCGATACACGTACACCAGGCTTTTTCTTAGCCTAAAGTGTCCTTCCCTGGCAGCCAAAACACAAAGCAACCTGGTTTTACCTTTTCGAATACAGACCTAGTACAAGAAACTTACTAAAACGAAGGAATACATGGAACATGGTTTTACCGTCTAACTGTGAGCATGGAACTTGGTTTTGCCGTCCTATAACCTAACCGTGTTCTAGCTTTGTGAGTCCTCTTTAGAAGAAACTCCGGAACATCTTTTCCTTAACTTCTCGACTAACGAAGGGACATGGATTTACCGTCCTATGTAACTGTTATTTGTGATTCCTCCTTTGAAGAAACACTTGGAACATCTTTTTTCCTTCACTGCTCTTTAGCTAAAGATTGTTGGAGGTTGCTCAATATTCAAAGTGACTGGTCCTCAAATGCACCACCCCTCTGGCCTCCTTCCGTGAACCGCTGCAAAGATGACTTTTATTCTCAGGGACGAGAAAAGTTACTCCGTCATTTGTTTCGTGGCTACCTAGAAGCCTTGTGTAATTTTCTTCATTTTTTTCTTTGCCTTTGTGTAATTTTCTTCATTTTCTTTCTTTGCCTTTGTGTAATTTCCTTCATTTTCTTTGTTTTCTTGATTACTCTGCGTTCACCTAAAAAATGTATCGATGTATATAAGCACACGGTGTTGATGTTCATACTTGTAATCGTGACAGTATCATTGTACTCATGTAGGTGCATTAGATGTTTGTTAGAATCATGTAATAGCATGTTTAGTTAGCGCGTAGAATTGTGGGCAGCGTAGAGATGTGCATGCGCTGCGTCATGACCGCGTCCTAAGGCCTATCTCCGCCATGGCGCGCTCGCCGTGCATGTCGCGCGGGTGACCGAGTAAAACGGCACACCGTGCAGCAGCGAGTCGTGGCGGGGAATGCAGATCAAGGCCAGTTAAGTATTGAATCAGTGCATCAACAGAAGCTGCGCATTGCAGTGGAAAAAGTGTCTTCTCGCGTGTTCAGTTACAAGCTCTCGCGTTCCAGCTCCTGGTGACCGCGCTCCGGGCAACGCCGGCGGCGGTGAGATCCTAGGTCCGGCGAGCCGCCGGTCCTAACACTGTGGTATCGGAGCCGAGTGGATGTTCTATAGTGGGTCAGTGAGCCCACCACGAGAGCCAGCGAGGAAGAAGCACATCATCCCGCGACGACAACCGCCATCCGCCATGAGTGACTCGCCGGCGAGCTCGAGTTCGGCGAGCGTGAAGGAGAACTCGTTGATGTGGCCCATGTTGACGCGATCGAACTACACCCAATGGGCCATGTTGATGCAGTGCAACTACGAAGCCATGGAGATTTGGTACGTGATCGAGCCAGGCACCAATCCTAAGCGCGCCCATGATCGCCAGGCTCTGAGCGCACTCATGCGCTCGGTCCCGGAAGACATGTGGCAGACGCTGGGGGGCGCCAGACGATGAAGGAGGCATGGGAGGTGGTGAAGACCATGCGTCTCGGTGCGGATCGAGTGAAGGACGTCAACGCCCAGAAGCTGATGCAGGAGTTTGAGAACATCAAATTCAAAGAGGGCGAGTCGATCGACGACTTCGGCATGTGCATCAACAACCTCGTCGGCAACCTCCGCGCGCTGGGCGAGACGATGGAGGACACCCGCGTCGTCAAGAAATTCTTACGGGTGGTACCTTCTCGTTTTGCCAGTGTTGTTGTCTCAATCGAAATGTTCTGTGATATGAAGGCGCTCACCGTGGAGGAGTTGGTCGGCCGACTGCGTGCGGCGGAGGAGCGGCTCAATGATGGAGTCGAACAGGTGACTAACAAAGCCGGTCGATTGCTGTTGGCAGAGGAGGATTGGCTGGAGAGAAACAAACACCGGCTTCGCGGTGTGCCAAACAAGGAAGGCGCCGGAGGCAGCGGTGGTGGCCAGACCAAGAACAAGGCGCCGGCGGCGTGCTCTCAGGGCGGCAACAATGGTGGCGTCAAGCTCACCTCCATGGGCACGCCGCGGCGCAAAGGTCATTGCCGCAACTGTGGCATCTACGGCCACTGGGCCGAGGACTGCAAGCGGCCAAAAAAGGAGAAAAAGAAGGAGGCACAGCAACCAGAGGCGAACGTGGTGGTTGCTGGCCATGAACAAGGCGCTCTGATGCTGGCCACGTGCGACGTCGTGCACGCGCCGCACCAGATCGTCCACATGACGGAGAATGTGATCCCAGTGGAGGTCCCTAACGACGAGTGGGTGCTCGACACCGGCGCAAGCAACCACATGACGGGCACACGATCGGCGCTGTCACAGCTCGACGCAAGTGTCCGCGGCTCAGTGCGCTTTGGTGACGGGTCTCGCGTCGAGATCCAAGGTGTGGGCTCCGTGGTGATCCAGGACCGTCAACACGGTCATAAGGTATTGACTGACATCTACTACATTCCTCAGTTGAAAAGTAATATAATCAGCCTGGGTCAGTTAGAAGAGAAGGGGTTCAAGTATTTGGGAGAGAATGGGAGGCTGCGAGTGTTCGATCAGGCACAGACTCTGTTAATCTCTGCACCTAGAAGTGGCAATAGACTGTACCTTGCTAAGTTGAGTCTAGTTCCCCCAGTGTGTTTGCTAGCACAAACTGATGATGCATCTTGGCTGTGGCATGCTAGATATGGGCACCTAAATTTCAGAGCCTTGAGTGATCTTAGTGCAAAGCAAATGGTAGAAGGGTTGCCAACTGTTACAAGGGTAGAGAAAATTTGTAATGGTTGTGTTCTTGGCAAACAACATAGAGCTCCTTTTCCCAAAGTGTCAAGCTTCAGAGCAGGAAAATGCCTAGAACTTGTTCATGCTGATTTGTGTGGTCATATCACTCCAAAAACAGTGGGGGGTGCTTCCTATTTCCTGTTGGTAGTGGATGATCATAGCAGATACATGTGGGTAGAAATGCTCAAGTCAAAAGATCAGGCTCTTGACTGTTTCAAGAAGATAAAAATGAGAGCTGAAAATGAGACTGATGCCAAGTTAAAGGCTCTGAGGACAGATAGGGGTGGTGAGTTCACTTCCAATATGTTCTCAGTTTTCTGTAGTGAAGGTGGAATCAAACATTACACCACCACTCCTTATTCTCCTCAGCAGAATGGGGTGGTAGAGAGAAGAAACCAAACTGTCATAGAAATGGCTAGGTGTATGTTGAAAACCATGCAGGTTCCATCTGAGCTGTGGGGTGAGGCAGTGTGTACTGCAGTTTATATATTGAACAGGTCACCTACAAAAAGCCTGAACAATATAACACCCTTTGAGGCATGGCATGGCAAGAAACCCAGGGTGAATCATCTCAGGACCTTTGGCTGTCTGGCTCATGTGAAATTTGTTGGTCCAGGTGTAAACAAGCTCTCTGACAGATCAAGAAAAATGGCCTTCATAGGATATGAATCTGGTACAAAGGGTTACAGATTTTTTGATCGTGCTACCAAGAAACTGGTTGTCAGCAGAGATGTGATTTTTGATGAAAAGCATCCTTTTGATTGGGCCAATGTAGTAAACAGTGAGCACCAGTCGACCGACACCTTTGTTGTCAATTATGAGTCGACTGATGAAAATCCGACAACAACTGGAAATGTAGTAGAGCAAGCTACAGAGAATCAAGGGGGTGGGGCTGTTGAGCCAGATGGTGATATGCAACCTGGGTTTGCAACACCAAGTCCCCAGAATGCTCCAGGATCAGATCAAGGGCCAGCTGCACAATGGGCAACACCACCTAGTGCACACTCTGAAGAAACATTTGGAGGACCTCTAAGATTCAGAACACTTGATGACTTGTTTGGGTCCACTGATGAGATTCAAGATTATGAATACAGTGGTGTATGTCTCCTTGCAGCAGATGAGCCATCTGGAGTGGAACAAGCACTAGAGGAGAAATGCTGGTTAGAAGCAATGAATAGTGAGCTGAAATCAATCAAAGAAAATAACACTTGGTATTATGCTGATTTACCAAAGGGTCACAAGGCAATTGGCTTGAAGTGGATTTTTAAGGTGAAAAGAGATCCAGAGGGGAATATAATAAAATATAAAGCAAGGCCTGTAGCAAAGGGATATGCTCAAAAGTATGGAGTGGATTATGAGGAGGTATTTGCTCTTGTAGCTAGGCTGGAAACAGTGAAGCTGATACTAGCACTAGCAGCCCAAGGGAAGTGGCAAGTGCATCATATGGATGTCAAATCTGCTTTCTTGAATGGTGAATTACAGGAGGAAGTATATGTTCATCAGCCTCCAGGTTTTCAAAATCCAAAATTCCCAGGGAAGGTGCTGAAGCTGAAAAAGGCTTTGTATGGCCTGAAACAGGCACCCAGAGCATGGAATGCAAAATTAGATCATGAACTTGTCAAGCTGGGGTTCTGCAGAAGTGAAGAAGAACATGCAGTCTACAAAAGAGGCAGTGGCAGCTCACTGCTACTGCTTGGAGTGTATGTAGATGATCTTGTCATCTGTGGGCCTGACAGTGAAAAAATCTCAGAGTTCAAGCAGCAGATGAGCAGAACTTTCAGTATGAGTGACTTGGGATTGTTGAGTTACTACTTGGGAATGGAAGTCAAACAGAAACCTGGTGAAATCACTATTTGGCAGAGAGCATATGCTGAGAAATTTGTAGAGCAATGTGGCATGACTGGTTGTAATCCAGTAGACACCCCCATGGATCAGAATAGCAAACTCCTACCTGGCATACCTGATATGGCAAGAGACATAACCAGGTTCAGAAGCATAGTTGGTAGTCTGAGGTATTTGGTGAATACTAGACCTAACATAGCCTATTCTGTGGGCATGGTTAGTAGATTCATGGAGTCCCCTACCAATAAACATTGGGCTGCTATAAAGAGGATTGTCAGATACATAGCAGGAACTTCTGAATATGGATGCAAGTACCTGAATAAACCTACTGAAAACCTAAAACTGTTGGGTTACTCTGACAGTGATCATGCAGGTGACCTGGAGAAGAGAAAGAGCACATCTGGAGTTATGTTCTTCCTGAATGGCAATGTGGTGACATGGACTTCACAGAAACAACGAGTTGTGTCACTGTCCAGCTGTGAGGCTGAGTATATTGCAGCAGCATCAGCAGCTTGCCAAGGGGTGTGGTTGAGTAGGCTCATTGCAGATCCGATTGGTCAGAAACTGCAGAAATTCAGGCTTCTAATGGACAGCAAGTCGGCACTCGAGCTGTGCAAAAATCCAGTGTATCATGAAAGAACCAAACACATAGACACTCGATACCATTACATAAGAGAGTGTGTTGTGAATGGCATTGCTGAGGTAGAGCATGTGAGCACTGACAGGCAGCTAGCAGACATCCTGACAAAGCCCTTGGGAAGGATCAAATTCGTGGAGATGTGACAGCAGCTGGGTGTCAGCAAGCTAAGTCACGATTAAGGGGGTGAATTGTTGATGTTCATACTTGTAATCGTGACAGTATCATTGTACTCATGTAGGTGCATTAGATGTTTGTTACAATCATGTAATAGCATGTTTAGTTAGCGCGTAGAATTGTGGGCAGCGTAGAGATGTGCATGCGCTGCGTCATGACCGCGTCCTAAGGCCTATCTCCGCCATGGCGCGCTCGCCGTGCATGTCGCGCAGGTGACCGAGTAAAACGGCACACCGTGCAGCAGCGAGTCGGGAATGCGGATCAAGGCCAGTTAAGTATTGAATCAGTGCATCAACAGAAGCTGCGCATTGCAGTGGAAAAAGTGTGTCTTCTCGCGTGTTCAGTTACAAGCTCTCGCGTTCCAGCTCCTGGTGACCGCGCTCCGGGCAACGCCGGCGGCGGTGAGATCCTTTCATTCGTTCACTGGAGTAAATAAAAACTGCATGGCAACCACGTATTATCATCTCCGCGCTAGTCCGCTCGATCTACTACTCGATGACGTAGGTCTTCTTGAGCAGGTTGATGAACTCGTCCACCTTTTCCGGCGGGTGAAGGCTCTTGGCGACGCTCTCCCTCTCGGCGCAGCGGCGCGCCCACGCCGCCAGCCTGGGCGCTATCCCCTCGACGCTGAACTCCCCGTATCTCTCATAGCTGGGGAGCCACGGCACGAAGGGCACGAGCGCGACGTCCACGAACCCAAACGCCTCGCCGCCGAAGAAGCCCCTCTCCCCGAGCTCGCCGTCCAGGTTCCTGAGCACCTGCACGATCTCGGCGCGCGCCTGCGCCTGGGGCTCGCCCTTGAGCTTCCACAGCCGCTTGCCCACCTCGTAGACCTTGTCAGAGTAGGCCGCCCAGAAGCGGTCCTGCGCGCGCGCGTAAGCGTCGTCGGCGGGGAGGAGCTTCGGGGAGGCGTCAGGGAACGCCTCCTCGAGGTAGTTGAGGATGACGAGGGACTCGCAGACCGGGCGCCCGTCGTGGAGGAGCACCGGGATCTTCTTGTGCACCGGGTTGGAGCGCAGGAGCAGGTCGCTCTTGGCGCCCAGCAACTCCTGCTCCGAGTACTCGTAGGGGATGCCCTTCTCCGCTAGCGCGATGCGGCAGCGCTGCCCGAACGGGCTCACCCAGAAGTCCAGCAGCACCAGGCCCTTCTTCGCCCCCGCCATTGCTGCCAGCGTCTGCGTACGTACGTGTGCACTGTGGAGTGATTGATGCTATGGATGAGAGGCTGTGAGTGTGATGCTTTATTATAGGGGAGGGGAGATCAGGATGGTGACTGAGACTGTCGTCGCGTTGTGACCGATGAGCTAGGGAGTCTGGATCGCCGCTCGCGAATTTTTTTTTAATTTTAACATTTTTTGAAAACTAATTTTATATCTAACACTGTCGGTTTTTTTAAACTAACACTTTTTGCCGCGTCTATTGCCCTGGCGCGGTCAAATGCCTGTGCCGCGCCATGCATGGTGGCGCGACAGCGGGCTGACGTGGCGACAACCGGATTCGCTGACTGCTGATGTGGCGGGGCCTGCCGCGCCACCGATCTTGGCGCGGCGCGGTAGAGCCGAATATAACCCTAGCGGCCAGTCCCGCCTGCCCGAGCAACAAACCCCGCCTGCCCACGCCTGGCCGCCGCGCCCGCCCCCCGCCTGGCCCTCCGTTGCCGCCTCCCTCCATTCCCTTCCATTCCCCGGCCGCCTCCCTCCATTCTCGTCCTCGTTCAAGGTAATAACGCACATTTTATTTTTGTTTGAATGGTGGATAGGATTTTATGAATGGGAGTTAAGGTTAGGAGGAAAATTATGTTTTGGAACTATGGGCTACGGTTTGAAGAAAGATATTAGTTTGATTTTGTCAATGTTAAGATTAATTATTTACTTAAAAGTATGTTTACCATGTATATTTTTGTTGCTATAAGTGTTGGTTACATTACTTTAGTTGCAATGCAAATGATTATATTTTACATTAATTTGCGTTGTTTTGATTGATGTTTAATTTGAACCGTTTTATTAGATGGAAGACATGTTTCGGGAGCAGTTATGGCGAAAACGGGGTCATCCTAGAGAATTGTACCTCGACGAGTCTAGCAAAGATGCCCCCGTCCCTCCTGAACTCTCTGTCCCTAACTGTGACTGTGGACGTCCGGCCGACGTGTTTCAATCGAGACATCCGGGACATAGCGGCTCGTTGCTTCTACACGTGCATTCGTTTTAATGTAAGTAATTATTTCCATATGTTTTCTTCTTCATTTGTATTATTAGGTTAATAATATTTTGTTGATTTTTTGTTGTGTAGGCCCATGAGAGGTACTTTTTCTTTTAGTGGATCGACGGTGCAGACAAGTGTGACCCCAGGTACCTTCTTTTCGACAATTGGTGGAGAGGGGGACATCCACGAGAGCACTTCGAGCGGTGGGTTCCACCTCCCCCTAACCCCCCTCCAATGACGACTAAGGAGAAGCACTTAGCTGCAGTTAGACGACTCGAGGAACCTCCTATGTGCGATTGCAGAGACCGAGCTATGATAAACCCTGACAATACATTGAAGTTTGTGTGTCCAAACAAGCATGAAGTAAGTGCAAAGTGTATGTGTTGAAATGTTGAGCTATATGTGTTCATATACTAATGTCACGTTATTTAGGTGTATTCAATGACGAAGTGTCCTTTCAAGGAGTGGTTGTATGGTTCTAAGAACAAATGGCCCGAAGAACCTCCAAAGGTAAAGGAAAGAAAGGTTAATTTACAAAGCACCGCCAATCAAGTACGAATGTGGTGTTAAATCCAACTACAGTCTAGTCCCTTCGAAGCTTGGAATAGACCATTATTGCGGCCATATGATTGGCTATGATGAGGTTGGTTATTTTTGTGGTAACCATGAAATCGTATTTTGTTTCTTTTGCTAAGACATATATGATATAATTTTTCTTTTGAACAGAGCACTAGAAAATGCAGGTGGGAATGTTATGATGGTCAAGCTAAGTTCTTGGATGAACTGAAGGGGAGGCAAGTAATTGCACGGAAGAGGGGATATAGACCTGACTACGTTAACCTTTTCGTTAAACATCACAAAGACAAGATGCGTGAGTTTGCTAGACAGTGCAGTATTTGTAACCCGATCGATGTTGGGCTTGAGAAATGGGGATTGGAGAGACGGATGACATTAGAGGAGGAGAGGGCAAGGAAGGAGACAGAGTACAGATGCAGGTTTTGAACGAGCATGTTGTTGCATTATATGCTAGTGAGTGCTTGAAAGCCTTTTTTCTTTGCTTGATTTTAAATGTAATATAATCGCGTTGCTAACTGATTGCATTTTATACATGAAGGAATTGGATGTAGCGAGGACCATGCTGTAGAGGTGGCTTGTGTAAGGTACGAGAAAAAGAAGTTAGATGAGCACAGAAAGTGAGCTGGTCGCACCGTTGAATTATCGATTGTGTTGTCTGATGAGGGGGACGAGGATAAGGACGACACGGCCAGACTCAGCGAGCTCATCGCTCTAGTAGAGGCGGGCTTGCAGGCGGAGGAGGCTGAAGACGACACTGGTAGACTGAGCGAGCTCATCGCTCTAGCAGAGGCGGGCTTGCAGGCGAAGGAGGATGACAACGCGTTCTTCACTCAGGCCGCAGAGGTCGCAGATGAAGCGGAGGCTGCTTACTACAAGCGAAAGGCAGATCAAGGCAATGTAGGTGAGGCTAGCCACAGCTACAGGGTTGTGGTTGAGGATTGGTACTCGGACGATGAGTTGTTTACTCAGTATGTTTCTGACTGAGGGTTTTTGATTGCGCCGTCTGTTAGTTCTATGCTTTATTAATAATCAATGTAGCTATGTAGTAGAAATTTCATTGTGTTGTCTTATATTCCATTTAAGCTACTGATGTATTGTACCCATATATCATGTACTCGATATGCAATATGAACATAATATTCAGATTAACATTATGTAGCATCATAAAATTTGAACTACTTTATATGCAATATGAACATAATATGAAATCATCTGCTGCCCTCGTCTTCCATGCCTGCTAGCCTTGTGACCAGATTATTTGCAAACGGAGTAAAGATTCCTGTCACGGGTCTCGTTGAAGTCTCCTCCACCGTACATGTCTTCGCCGTACCCTCTCATAGCGTCCATGTCCTCGTTGAGTCGCTTCTTTTTCCTCCTACCCTTCCCTACATTCATTAGATCCGGATGCGGCACGTAGTCAATAACCATTATAAGGTGGCCACTTTGTCGGGTCAAGGTATATCTCGAAGCTCATCTTCCAAATACGGGCCTGCCGCGCCACGGATCAGGACGCGGCACCGCCACGCCAAGATTGGTGGCGCGGCAGGCTCCGCCACATCTGCAGTCAGTGAATCCGGTCGTCGCCACGTCAGTCCGCTGCCGCGCCACCATGCATGGCGCGGCATAGGCATTTGGCCGCGCCAGGACAATAGGCGCGGCCAAAAATGTTAGTTTAAAAAAACCGACAGCGTTAGATTTAAAATTAGTTTTAAAAAGCGTTAAAATTAAAAAAAAAATCCCGCTCGCCGGCTTTGTCGTTAGGCGAGCACGGAAGGAGAACGCCTGAAGATCGTGGCACGTGGTGGACGCGCACGCTCGAGCTGGCGGATGGACTAGCTCACGCTGCGTCGTGAGCCGTGACCGCGAGCCCGTGACAACATGGATGGCTGGCAATTGGCATGCATGCATGCACGCACGTGACACCAAACGACAGAGGACAACCGAGCAGCGTAGCGTCGTGGGATCCGCTGATGGGCACCAGCCTTTGCAGAGATCACATTGATGATAAGATATGGGAGGAGGGCACCAACGCACACGCACGCGGGACGCATGCATGCGGTAGCTACGGCGACTGTGTACGAATGCGTGATCGGTGGTCTCCACGCACGTTCACGTGCTTTGCCTCTTTGTGAACAATGCCTGTCCTCGACAGATTCCTTCCCACGAGGTTCGGTGCGACTTGCGAGCACGCAACGTTCGCTGCTCGTCGCGTTTCCTTGTACCGCCCTTTTTAAAATTAACCGGTAATGCAAATTAGCGCGCTATTCAGCCACAGGGCGACGCTAAAGATGAACGTGGCAGAGCGCGCATCCCTACCTTGTTTTTCTCCTAA